GAGTATCCCTGCAGGACAACCTCACCTTCATCCTCTGGATCTTCATTGATCATCACCGAGCTCTCTGAAGGCTCAGTGCTGCTCATGTCTTCATCTGGCTGCTTAAATTTCCATCTCACCTCTATTTCACCGTCCGCTGCTCGTTTCCTCACATACAGCACTTCAGCTGTTCTAGGGCAGGAAGTGTGGCACAAAGCAACCAATCAGAAGGCTGAAAAAGAGTGCATCAGGCAGAGTGCATTTCCACAGGTCTGCCTTTTCACCCATAACAGTTACATCCCTCCATGAAGACATGACAGTAACGCATCTGTTCACAGTTTCATTTAAACCCTAACAGTGGCAAATTCAAAACAAAAGTTTCACATTATGAAAAATGATTTTGTCTTTTTTGACAGTTATGTTTGCATTTTCATATCTGTAAGACAGATTTACAGCTGGAAACAGAAACAGCTAACCTGCTGTCAAAAGCAACACATCTACAGAAAGCACAGACAACACCTTATTAAACCTGGACAAATGTGAATGTAGAAGAACTATTTGTTCATTCATATAAAATAAGACAACCCTAAAAACATGCCGGGTTCTGGGGCGAGTTTGATGATCCTTCCTTTCTCTTTGGCAGAGTCACCTTCCCAGGCTCGCTCGCTTCTTCCTCATTGCTTCACTTTGTAAATAAATGTGTTTTTTTTCTTGTATCTTGATGTCTGAGTCTGCTCCTAGTTTCCAGTTAGAGTAAAATCATGAAAAAGTTACCAGCAGTTACAGTGTGTAGAATCTCACAGCCTGATGTCAATAGACTGCAGATTGCAGTAAAACGTTTTCTTACTCCAACTAGTTTAGGTGCATAATCCTAGCTGGGTGGAGGCTATAGGACAAACATGTTTTAGACAGCCAAGATAGATCAGAAACAATAAATCTTGTTTGTACCCCATGAAGGCCAAGGCCAGCTGGCTTGTTTCTACTACTGTTTGGACCAAACCCCGAGTTTTTCCCTGTTTGCTGTCACTCTGCTGTTGGTGCTGGTTGTGCAGCATCTGCCTTCATTTACTCAGGAAAGGACATGAGACAAGCTGACTATTGTGGTGAGTTTTTAAGGATATAGTTAACTTTTCTTCTTAAAAGCTGCTGTTTTCGCCACTAGTAGCCGCTGTTAACCTCTGTTGGCTGCTGTTA